GTTCTGAAGCCATCAACGATGTTCTCTAGAGGATTCAGATGGCACCACGTGGTAATGCCCGAATTGTACATTTCAACCGACTTGCTCCTTATCATGGAAACAACGAAGATGAGGCTGTGGGACAAATCCAACCAGAATCGGAAATGACATTTGACCAATTTATAGATCGCTATGTTAAGGGTCTTAAGAGTCGGTATGGCGTGACGTGTGAAGTAAGCAAGATCTGTTTACCACTTCACCATAGTATGCCCTGGCACACTATGTGGCTCAAGACTTGCGAATGTCGAGATGTATAGCAAAGGTTCTTCTTAGGAAGTTTGGAATAGTGCGCGAGCTGCAACAGTCTAACCCGGAAGTCGGAGAGGTACTCGAGATAACTGAAGAGGGTACCAACCGAAAGATCTTATATCTGGTTACCAAGAAAGCTTCGTGTGAAAAACCGAATTACGAGGATGTCTGGAACGTTTTGTGATCTCTTAGAGAAGTGTTGCTTGCCGCGAACCTGAGAAAACTGGCAACACCTAAGCTGGCATGTGGACTGGACAACCTGGACTGGAGAATCATTCGAAGCATGCTTGAGGTAGTCTTCCGGTATACACGCATTAGATTTCTGGTATGTTGTCACAGTCCTAGACGGCTACCTCCTGGAAAAAGTGTGGATTGTTACTTCTTCAAGAACTCCTACTGCAAGAAAGGGCAGTCATGCCGATATTGACATCCACCGCCAGTAAGACCATTCCGGGACGGAATGACTTTAGGGAGGGGGCAGTGTAACAAGAATGAATAGTACCGTTGGCGCCATCTGTTGAGGACCGCGCCAGACTCTCCTACTCGCCAGCTGCTTCATGGCCTATCTCTGTTGGGGACCGTGCTAGAGACTCTCCTTCGGTGGCGACATCTATTGAGAACCGTGACAGTGACTCGCCTTCTAGATTGACACGAAGTGACCTCGAAAAGTCTAGACTGCCGCTTTGTGGCTCGCCGGAATCTTCTCGACTCAACGATGCGGACTATATAACTCGACGGCCGGGAGGAGGAAGCAGAGTAGAGTAGAGTAGAGCAGAGTGGAGTATGGTTCAGTCAAAGGCGCAACATGAGAATTAGTCAGACATAAATAGTGGTGTGCACAAATGTTCTATCTAGTCAAGCTAAATAAATTAGTGCATTTCTTTTTGTGGAAGCCAGTGTTTCAATCCACACCCAAAAGAATCCAGAAAAACGCTACAGTATCAGTGATCGCGATCGTGATAGGCACGATGGATTTATCTTCAGTGGAAGCGAGTTTAATTATGGAATATTCTTTTCGTTCGAATTCGTTCAAGACAGGGTTTTCCAGAACCCACCCATCTCAATCCCAGCCCCAAAACCGCATATCACAGAGGCTATTAACGGAATAACACCGGCATTCTTGAGTGAAGAGTTCGGCAATATCCAGAAACAAATAGGAGCCTGTCTTCGAGAAGATGGTGGACACTTCGAGCAATATGCTTTAGATTTTATCTTCTTGTTCGTATCTATATTTTTAATTACTGTTTGTGACTTTTTATATTAAATTGTACGAGTTTGTAATCAGAGTATCTATTTTGCTTGAACACCCGTCTATTGGCTAACGCAGCTTTGAAGAGCAAGGTGAGCATGACGATTTCAAAAAGGTTAGACCCACAAGTTGGTTAAGACACGAAGACGTTGCATAACATAAATACCCCTCATGCAAATTACAAAATTTGGCTGACGTCTTTTGATTTTGAGTTAAAAACGTTTAATTTTGCAAATTTTCGGAATTATGTTTTCTTGCAAATAACTTAAATTGGGAAATGGCAACCAAATTCTGTAAACTGCATGTGGAAGGTATGTACTTATATTGCGCAACCTTATTCTGATTTAACCAACATTGCAGCACTGTATACAGAACTATTGATTTTTTGCAAATGTTTCTTAGCAGCTGCGGTAACCAGTTAGCATTAAGCAATATGTTCATGCATTTGTAACATAGCCAACATTTTTGACCAGCGCAGTCTCCAAAAACAACCACGTATCTACGGTTGCATGCAAAAAACCGAAATTTGAAACTTTGAAGGCGCCTCCAGAGCGAACTGTTGAACCTAGGAGTTTAAGAACTTACAAAGTCTCGTACCATTATAGGTTCTCATCCGAAAACAAATTTATTTGAGCCCGATACGAGACATGAACCACCCTCCAGTATCATAAAAATGGCCAATTTTCGTACAAAATATCGAATGTTAAATCCAAAGGCCTATCTAACGAATATAAAGGACCAAGTACAAAATTCTATTCATATAGGAGGCTGTTCCTTCTCATTTATCTTTTTTTGATCAGTTTCCGTTTCGGAGGGCATTCAAATTGTCAGCCCAATAAATCAGTGAATCATTTCTAAAAAATCATTTTCGTCTGAAATATTTGCTAAACGAATCGTCATATCGGAATTTAATTTCCTTCGGAGTAGTCACATATTATGATGCCCAATGCTTCCGTCCTCCACCTTCAATCTTTGGACACATCTTTAGCCCGAACCGTTCGATGTAGGATTCTGAAATTTCGTCAAGTCTCATGCCTCCATAGGTGCTCTCCAGGACACAAATTTGAGCCCGGTCTGAGATACGACCCACCAGGCCAAGTCGTGGAATTTTAGTCTGGCCCATATGTAAATGTGAATGTCTGTCCAGTCCGTGAGTATCACGTCTGAACCAGAATACTGAGAGACGTAAAAATTTGGAGACTCACTAGTTGAAACCCGAGGAAGTTACCCTTTACCACACAGGTTTATTCGCGAAAATATGCAAGATCTTCAAAAGTATGCGTTGGCTTATATGATATCTCCTGTCCATCAAAAACTATTTATCGCAAAATTTATAAAAAAGATTCTGCTACGGTGTCGCGTGTATCTTCTGTTAGACGATGTAATTAATTACAACTGTTGGGGTGAAGAATAATGTTCAGCGGCCTGTGGCTGAGGATATGTGTCACCAGGGGCGTAGTAGCATGGGAATTACGTGATGTGGAAAAATAAACGAATTACTATGAGTTTTTTGACTAATAAATAATCAAAACCACTTGTACTCTACATATTCCGAAAAGTGAGATGGATTATGAATTTGAACACCCCTAATTCCAACCTTCACATGCCAACTGCTTATTGAAAACCTTATGGTGCAAGTAGCAGTGTAAAAATTAACCCAAATTCTAAAATTTGCATTAACAGTATTTTTATTATTTTTCATGAAAATTAAAATGACTACACATGGATTTTTGAGTATGCCCCAAAAAAGTTCGGTACTTGCGTGATATGCAAAAATATTCAGAAAAGTAGTATTGTCCCAAAACCTTCAACTTCAAAAAAAAAAAATGTTCGTAAGCTGTCTAAAAACAATTTGAGACCCCAAAAAACTAAACTACACCTATAACTTGACAGTATCTACTACATATTGGTTAGTTTCCGTCAATATATCTCATCGGCTTAAACAAACAACAGTTGTGACCTTATGCAGAGGTTACTGGTAATTTTCCGTATTTCTGCCAAAGGCGTGATATGCTACTTAACATGCAATTAATTTCACCATAGAAAGGCTAACTATAAATTAAAGGATAATCTTGTAACTGTAAATAGGTCACGCTGTGACCTACTACATACAGGGTGACTTCGAAGTTGAGTCATTTATTTAAACAGTGAGTAGATCTGATCAAAAGATATGTTTTTTTCCTTTACCATTTTTCTGGTAAAATTAAAGTAACAAAGTTATAGCTCTTTGGAAGTTTGAGTACCGCCCTGTCTCAATAATAATATTATGTGCTCGTGTCTGGCAACAACGGATATAATCCGCCTTATCGGTTCATCGCATCGGAAACAAAAAAGGGAAAGAATTTGGAACGATGTTTTTACAATTATTTTATTCAGTTGTATACACGTATACAGTCAGTGTCAGTCGGTAACGCGTGAGTGAATAGTGGTGTCTGTTGCGTAGCTCAAACGAAATAAAAAATGGCACATGTTTATGCGGATCGGTTTCCCAATCGAGTGCAACCAACCCCTCGTGCCTTTGTTAATGTAGTACAACGGGCTCGTGAATCAGGTGACTTAAGACCTCACAGGGGATGGCATGCCGGTGCTCCAAGACCTCACGATCAAATACAGGTCCGCACTGAAATACTTGTCGGGAGGATACTTTATAAAACAAGGTAAATTTTTTTTTTAATTTTTTTTTTATTTTTACACACATATTTTGGTTTATCTTCCTTCTACAATCATTATCTGAAAATTAATGACTCAACTTCAAAGTCACCCTGTATATGGTGAAATAATACTTGGGCCTGGGCGTATCATACTCGGACAGATCGAGGTCACCTCAGTCACAAACATTCAACATTCGTTAAAGTGGATCTGGCACCGGCTCCATTCCATCGCATCGCCACCAAGATCGCTGGAACTAAACCCACTTATGTTTTCATTGGGGTAACTTTAGAGGCCAAGTTGGACTGACCGTGAAAAAAATAGTTTTCCAAAATTGAACCAGTCTTAAGCATGCCAGCGGGTATTCTTGCAGGCAAAAATATTTTATGAAAAAAAGCGGTGCATGTATAACAGTGAATAACATTCATATCATTAATTTAATATAAATTGTCTTTCCATATCAATCCAATAGATTTTGGCTTCAAGGTATATGCTGGTACTACTACGGCTATAACAATAATTGAAGAAAGACAACAGCAGAGTTCGAGCAGCAATAATAATGCTGAGCAGCAGTGGCGGCTCGTGGCAAAATAAAACAGGTGTTCTGCAAATCCAAACTTACCTATTTTTTATATGTCAGTTCGATCCTGCGCTCCTTCTTGGCAGGAAATTTGTCGATCACCTTCCGTTGAAATTTTCCATGGTTGAAATAAATTTCTTTTCAATGGACAGCATTGACAACGCTGTAAAGAGATCCTGAGTCATAGTATTTCGAAGAGAGGTCTTGATTCTCTTCAATGTTGAGAAATTTCGCTCAGCCTCTGATGTTGACATAGGAGTTGTAACAATAATTTCTAATAGCCTTTTTTAGTGTTTCCTCCAAACTATTTTGTATCAAAAATTTCAAAAGAGGCATAGTTCCATGTAAATCTCGGCAATCATTCCGTGCATAAATAACAGACAACTCTGTCTTTAAACGACTTTTTACTAATTCGGGATAAGCCAAGCAGGTAGTTTCCAACTTGTCATCAGAAAACTTACCACAGTATTCTCCAAAGTGTTCGGGGAAAAAAAGGGATGCGGCTACCAAATGATCTTTGAATTGAAATCTGTCATTTGCAGAATTCACTATATTGTCGCATACTTCTAATGCGGCAACTCGGTGATCGTGACTGATATTATTACGTCGTCTCCTTTTATTGCCTTGGGGTTCAGTGCAAATACTTTTGGCTTCATTTATTATGTCATCAATTTTACTTCTCACATCGACAATACAGTTTTCAAAATTATCGATAGCCGTTTTAACTTGCGCTGGCTCGGTTTTTCTGTTCTGCAACTGGTCGAACAAGATGTCGATGTGAGGCATGACAGGATGAAAAAATGTCAACCAAAACACAAAAACAGATCGTTTAACATACGGCGATTACCGCAAGCTGCCTTGCAAACAGTTTCATTAGTGAAACGTTCTTCTATTTCTTCCATGCATTCAATGAGTGATATTCTGTTCTCAAACACTACATTTATTGTTCGAATATTAAAATTCCAACGAGTTGTTGCTCCTTGGGGAATTTTTCCCCACAATTCTGTTCAGTACCTCTACGCGTTGAGGAGAATTATTAAAAAATCCCGGAATATCTTTCAAATCCCCAAAGAACACCCGAACTTGAGCATTTGCAGCTTGGGACATAATCAGGTTTAACTGATGCGCATAGCAATGCACATAGTGAGCAAATGGATATCTTTGTTTAATTTTTGCCTGTACTCCAGCATTATGTCCGCTCATTACCGTTGCTCCATCATAGCTTTGTGAAATCAGTTTGTTAGGGAAATTTCCTATTGATGGATCTACGACGCTCAAAATATGTCTTGTGAGAGTATCAGCGTCACATTTTTCGGGATTCATATAATTCCAAAAACGTTCTACTGGTTCGCCGTTAAATACGTATCTGAAAATTGTTACCAGTTGGGTTTTTCCCGAAATGTCCGTTGTTTCATCTGCTAGTATCGCCAAATACGAGGCTCTGTTAATCTGTTTTATTATTTCTTCATGACAAACTTCAAGAATACAATCCAGTAGATCGTTTTGTATTTCTTTCGAAGTTCCTTTAAATATTGAAGCATTTTTTTTGTGTTCGCGCAAGGTTGTATCAGCTCTCGGTTTCGTCGTAGCCCCATAGCGCCAATTCAAATGCTCCGCAAAATTTTATACCATCGATTATTTTTGATAGAACGTACCTTTTTTTTGTAACGGTATCATTATGCTGTTGTATATTTCTCCAATATGCTGATTCTAACTGAACTCTGATGTTAACAGTCCCCAATAAAGCCAATTCCATCGAATTATGAGGATGTGTTTTAGAGTGTTCATGCATCTTAATTTTTTCACTCAGGTGCACTGAATCTGTAACACCTACCTCCGTCCAAGCTTTGTCACTGCCGAAAAGTATGCAAGGAAAGAAGGAAGGGACATTCTTCCTGTTGCACCCACAAATACAGTCATTTCTGGTGTAAATCTCCCTGCTGAAATGCCGCGTATAGCCCTTGCCCCGACTAACGCCCTGTGTTTCTATAAATATGTCCGGCAGCGGTCGACCTTCAGCTCAATTTTTTCTTCAAATGTGTGTCTTCAGAATCGTTTCACGCTGATAAGTCTGTAAACCACATCCATTGTCTTGCACTACCCTTCTACACAGCCACAGTCAGTCAGCGAGTCACTAGTCACTCAACGTAAGAGCCAAAATACCTTAATAAAAAATTGTTCGCATTCAAATTTTAAGCCATGTCACGCGAAAAGACCAATATGCCAATGCCGAGGACCGAGCACCGACCGACCAATCAGATATCGTACTTCGCATTAGATCTGTACGGATCTGAATAAATTGCAGCACATGGTTATGCTTAAATCGCGCATTTGATTTTGTAGAGAGAGACAAGAGCAAGGGCGTGCGGCTTGTGTCGAAGTGGTGCACAGACCCTTTTCAAGTGGCCCATGAATAATGTTACGCTGCGGTCCCGCTGAAAATGACAGTACACAATTGGTCGATTATAATGCTTTCTATTTGTGTGATAACATGGAAAATAAATAATGATCAAATTACTACCGCTTTTTTCTGTTAAGACAAAAGTTTTGGCAGTTCTGCAGCTCTGCAGAACTTAAAGGCCAGCCGCCCCTATTGAGCAGCGAATGGCTTTCGCTCGTGAGTATGTATGTATAGAAAATATATTTCAAAAATGTACTTACGAGTATAGGACTAATTGCTACAGTTATAACAGTTGAAATAATTCATTCATTTGGAATTACTCACGACTTCATACTGTTGAAGACCTGTTTGGGAATCTGACCATAAGGACAAGTTCTCCAGCTATTTATATTGTCACTGCACCAGCAATTTATTTACAGAGACAGACTGTTCTATGGAAAATTGAAAACAAGGCATGTTTATTGCAATTGCCATTATTATTTTGTAAGTGGTATCTTTGCAGCTTTTATAATTGTATTAGGTTAATTTAAGTATAACCTCCTGAAACTACTGGAATTCTAAGACTCTTCCTACATCAGTTTCTATTATTTAGATTCAAATGCAGATTCCGGGTGCATGTTAGGAAATCCCAAAAATCGGAAAGTTTCGATAACTATTGATTTTCGGCCATACGTAACAGGGTGTCCCGAAAAAAGTGTGCAATATTCTACCAGCGGTTTCTAAAGCTTAAAATAGGAAGAAAAGTTTATATAAACATAGGTCGACAAACGTCCCCTAAGGGCGCTACGGTCTTTTAAAGGGGCTCCCCTGAAGATGGTTTTTCCTCAATATTTCCGAAACGTGTTGAGATAAAAACATAAAATTTGGTATACCAGCCTAGTTTCTTGTGCCAGATTCAAAAATATTTTAGACAGTTTTGTTTGAAGGCGTATGTAACAGGGACGGACTTAGGTTATTTTAGCCCCAACATTTTTGTGTGATTCTATTTTAGAATTTCAAAATTTAGGTTTTTCTACATAAAAAAGGTACTCTTATTGAATATCGATAAATTGTGCCATTTTTGAATAAAATCAAACTAAAAAATTTATCACATGATAGGAAATGTACTGCGAATTTAAATGAATTGTTGAATAATTAGCAACGGCAACGAAAAAACTAATTAAATAATTGGTAAATATTACATAAATACAGCCTGATGGATTCTTTGAAGTAAATCTTCTTGATTATTTATTTCAGTCGAGTAAACTAGGTCTTTTAATGACCCCCAAAAATAGAAATCCAATGGATTGAGGTCAGGTGAACGTGGCGGCCACGCTATAGGACCTCCTCAGCCTAACCACCTGTCTGGAAATTTGACATTCAACCAATTTTGAACATTGCGGCCAAAATGTGCAGCGGCGCCATTATGTTGAAAAAACATATCTTCTTGAAACTGCTGGCGCACATCCAATGGTATTATATCCATGAGCTCAAGTTCAGATACACCTCTGAATTAAGATGATTGGGAAGTACAATACACCCAATTACTTGATCTCCAATTATTCCTGCCCATAAGTTCAATGAAAATCTATGTTGGAAATTTGTACGGCGAACAACTTTTGGATTTTCATCTGACCAGTGATGCTTGCTATGGAAATTAAAAGCACTATTCCTAGTAAATATTGACTCATCCAACCATAATATTCTAGGTAAAAAATCTGCCTACGTTAAATGCTGCACCCGTTTAAAATGATAAGGATGTAATCCTTGCATTCTTGTCATTCTTCCTATCTAAAATTATTATTTTTAGGATAACTATCAGATAGGTATTCATAAATTTTTCTTACTATTGATCGAGGTATATCCATAATTTCTGAAACATTTCGTATGCTTATTTGCGGATTATTTTCAAACATATTTGAAACAATATCCATACGATGATTTCCCAGTGGCCTTCCTGAGCCCTGCATGCCCTGAAAACTTCAATGGTTTGACAAATTCCGGTGAATATCGGTAAACATTCGACGTCCAGGTACTATGCGATTGGGAAATCTTCTTTGATATTCTCTTACGTCTGCCAATGAACTGCCATCGCAAAACCCGTACACAAAATGCATGTCAGTCAGTTCTCTGTCTGTAAATCTTGGCATTTTAAATCGATTTAATAAAAATTTTGACTTTAATCTAGTAACTTTACACTGCTATCAATGTCAGCTTAACGTCAAAATAAGTCATAACAAATCAATACAACTTTTGTTTGCAGTCATGGCTAACTATGTATAATCAACAATTCATTTAAATTCGCAGTACATTTCCTATCATATTTATGAGAAATTTTTTAGTTTGATTTTATTCAAAAATGGCACAATTTATGGATATTCAATAAGAGTACCTTTTTTATGTAGAAAACCCAAAATTTTCAAATTCTAAAATTGAATTTCAAAAATAGAATCACACAAAAATTTTGGGGCTAAAATAACCTGAGTCCGTCCCTGTTACATACGCTTCCAAACAAAACTGTCTAAAATTGTTAATTTTTTTAAATCCAGCATAGACTAGGCTTGAATACCAAATTTTATGTCTTTATCTGAACACGTTTCGGAAATATTAAGGAAAAACCATCTTCAGGGGATCCCCTTTAAAAGACCGTAGCGCCCTTAGGGGTCGTTTGTCGACCTATGTTTATATAAACTTTTCTTCCTATTTTAAGCTCTAGAAACCGCTGGTAGAGTATTGCACACTTTTTTCGGGACACCCTGTAAAAGGTGTCATTTATTTAATTTTGTATTCCGTCACGCTTTCGGAATTATACTGAGAATTATCAGAATGAACGTGGCTCAAACAATTATCCGAATATTCTGAGGCAGCGGGAAAGACAATTACCCTCATACATACGCTCATGGTCGCTTATGGCAACTCGGTTTACGATGCTGTTTTTGAATTAAAAATCCATTCAATTACTCGAACTGCGGCAGCTAGATATAATTCTTCCGTGTTCTGTTAGCGTCTTGCCGAGGCGATATTAATAATGTATTCAATTTATTTTTTAAATAAAGCCGCTTTCACAGGCTGTTGGATGAGCGCCCAATTTTTCATGCCTTGTTACTTGCTCACCTACTCTGAAAGAGGGCCGCTTTTTTCAATCTCCAGTTTTCTGGCGTCTGAAAAGCCAACGCAAATTGCTGGATAGATGAGGAAATTATTTCTTTGTTTCAGGGTCTACATTGAACTGAGCGTTTTACTCCTGTTAATGGTCTGAAAGGGGTATGCTTTGGAGAGCGCTGTGATAGCAAAGATGCTTGATTTGAAAACTTTTCTCAATGTAGACTACATGATTTATAATTGCCGACAGTGCTCAGTCATTTGAGATTTTGATGAATTGCTTTTCGGATTATATGGCTAACGA